TTTGTTCAGCTTTACTCTGTAAGTTTATGTCTTTTGCCAGATTTAGAAAGTTTTCCTTTTTTTTTTAATTTAAAAATTTTATTAGACTTTTTTTTTTAAGAACAGTTTTAGTTGTACAGAAAAATGCAGAAAGTAAAGTCTTTCTCCCCACCCCCTGCCACAGTTTCTTCTCTTATTCACATCCTGCATCAGTGTGGTGCATTTGTTACATTTAATGAACCAATATTGATGCACTGTTAATTTTAATCATAGTTTACATTCAGGTTCTCTCTTTGTGTTGCTATAGTTCTGTGGATTTGACAAATGCACCGTGTGAAGTGTCTGTCATTACGTACCGTAACCATAGTTTCATTCCCCTAAAAATGCCCTGCGCTCCCTCTGTTCATTCCTGTCCCTGGCCTCCAGGACACTTGGCATCCATTATCTTTTTATTGCCTCTGTAATTTGCCTTTTAAAGAATGTAATTTGGTTGGAATCACACAGAATGCAGCCTTTTCAGAGTGGCTTCTTTCACTGAGTGGCAGCCTTTCACTGAGCTTTCTATTTTTAACTGAAGCTAAGATTCCTCCATGTCTTTTTGTGGCTTTGTTGGGGGAGCCTTGTGTACTTCCCTTGGTTTTTGTCCACACTGCAACAAAGAACTGAAGCGCAGAGATGCAGTGGTAAAGCAGAGTACAAGTTTCCTTTAAAGTTATTTACTTAGAAAATGTGGGTGACCTCAGGGAGGTTGGAGATGCAAGGAAGTCAGAGTATAAGGTGAGAAAGGAATTTATTAGTTACCTACTTAGAAAGTGTGGGTGGTCTTGGAGAGAGGTGCGTGCCTAAAGGTTTAGGGTCTGGGGTTTTATAGGCGGTTAAAGATTTTCAGGAAAGTGACAAAGGGCCAGGTGTGGACCAGCCAAATTGTGCCAGAATGTTCATCTTTGTTAAGACATTAAGGTTCTTCTTTTTTTAACTTAACACAAGAAATATACTGCTTTGATTCCTTCCCAGGAATCAACTTCTGTCTGGAAGCACATCAATCGAGACTGTCTGCCCTGCCTCCAAGGTGGGCTGAGCCACTGTCCGTTTGATTAAAATGCAATCTTAACTTTAAGATAGAATTCTTCCTGAATAAGCTGGGCTTTTTATCAGGTGCTAAAGTAAATCTTACAATAGTATGTTCTAATTGACACAGTGAAAACAGGCTATGCTGAGATACTTTTCTTTATCTGGGGAGTATTCAACATTCTAGGTCAAGTTGCTCCTGGCCTTCTGAACTTTCTATTTTTAACTGGTTACCTCTTTGAGTCCTTTCTAGTGGGCTTTACTGGCCTTATTCTCTTTCCGCCACGCTCATATCTATTTTCCTGCCTAACAGCTTGATAACCCATTTCTTATTTATTTATTTATTTATTAAGGTATTATTGATACACACTCTTAGGAAGGTTTCACATGAAAAACGATGTGGTTACTACATTCACCCATATTGAGTCCCTCCCCCATACCTCATTGCAGTCCCTGTTCATCAGTGTAGTAAGATGCCACAGAGTCACTATTTGCCTTCTCTGTGCTACACTGTCTTCCCCATGACCCCACACCATGTTTGCCAATCATAATACCCCTCAATCCCCTTCTCCCTCCCTCCC